TTTTAAGTGCAATGGAGATAGGTTTCTTTTTTTCCATAGTTTCTTCTTTAATCAACAAATATGGCATTAAGTCAGAAAACTGACTGCATAGGAAGAGGCCAATGTGGTCCTCAAAAAGCTTTAAGAACCTAACTGGGTTGCCTCTACCATCAGGTTGGAAGCTAGCAGAGTGAAGGAGGTAACACCGTGCGCCTGATCCCGGTTACTCATTCGTTATGACGGAGCAACACTAGGGTTGGTCTAGACACAAAGAGAGTTTAACAACCAAAGACTCCCCCACTTACAGCGTACAATGTGATCCAGGTGCAAACACTTGAACACTGAACCACTAAACCTCTATGTACACCACTAAACCTCTATGTACAGATAAAAGACTAATGTGCTCACTGCACGGGCAGTAAAGCATCGGTCAGGGAACCTGTGCGTTGAGGATCTACATCACCTCTTCCCATCGTTGGAGAAGGCTTAACAAAAGAGGAAGAATTTCAATCATTTAGTGAGGACAAACCTCGGCTAGTTGGTAAAGACAGGAAACAGGGAAAAAATTTTAAAGCTCATTGTCATGACAGACTCTGAAGCTTTGCACTGGCTTTGCGCAAAGCGTGCTGGGTCTATATCACGGTAAAGGCTCCATGGTGCAGTAGACAAGTAGTACTGGGCAGCAGCAACAGTGGTCTCCACACTTCACTTGAAAATTATTTGCTGCAGACTTTTTTCAAGCAAATGTTAAATGCAACATCAATATAAAAAAAATTAAAAAGCTAATGAGAGACCTGCCCTGGCACAAACAAGGATCAGCAAAGCCCACCCACCAGAGCACCTTTTTTACTCTCCACAGTGCCAGAGTTCACTGCGACCCCTAGGGATCTGAAAAAGAACTGAAGAACTGCCATCCAGCTTAACTGACTCCTAGTCTCTTCCAGAATGGGGGTCCTCACACACTTAAGTACACAGAGGTACTTTTCACTTAATGTTCTTTAAGTAAAAAAGAAAGCATTTAAAAATATTTTATTAAAAATTTAAATAAAAAATCTTTTGGGCTGTCAGTGTGAGAGCCCTGTATTATGTAGCCAATCTTTTGTTTTATGTCTGGGGACAAAACAATTGGTTCTAAATTATTTTAATGCTTGGTGTAATGGCTACGCTAGGTGAAAAAATTCTTCACAAGTTACACTGACTCTTTCAAGAAGAACCATATTCTCAGCTTCATTTATTAAATCGTCATACTAATTTTTAAAAGTATCCTCTGCTTATGGTAAGATCTTTATTGAAATTCTGCTGATAAACTGCTACCCCTCCCCACCCCGCTGACGTCAGTCACTTGTTTAGGAAGACTCATCAGAAGTTGCTGTGTTTTTGTATCTTTAACAAAAATGAATTTTAAAAACAAAATCTTTTGAAGTCGAGTTAGCATCTCACTCACTGTTAAACATCACCTTTACTTTGAAGGACAAGGTACCACGCTAATGTGCAGTCACAGAAAAGGGTCGGCAAATCGGGGACATTACAACTTTTTAGTAAAAGAAAAAATGTGTGACTTTGCATGAGGGAACCAGAGTGCTCCAGTGTGGTTCAAAAGATTTTCGTGATTATTCCTCATCTCATTGAGATGTATTAGAAGGACTCTACTCTTTGAGAGACTTGCTTTATTAAAGTAACCACAGCGCTGGCACCTGGCCGTGGAGTGTAGGACGTGAGCTGCAGTGCTCTGCACCCCTGGAAAGCACGACCCCCGTGTGATACCAGTTCCCTCCCACACTCTGACAGCCAGGGCTCTGTGCTCCCCAGTGTTCCTAAAAGGGCACTCCAGGATTCAGTGGAGCAACAATTTCAGCTTTCATGCACTGGGGTGCCCAGGGAAGCAGCAGCCAGCTCACAGGCACACCACAGAATACTTGACACTTGAGAGGGACACGGCAAGACTCCACATCTGTTAGCCGCTACGTGAACCACGAGCTCAGATTGTTCAGTTTCCACACTAGACAGCGTGACATTCCTTCTAAGACATTGTATCTTCGCAAAGCTGGGTTTTCAGTGACAAAAGGCAACTACCGGGTGAAAAATCAGTGTAGAATGGGAAAAGAGGTGGCGGTGTGAGAGGCTGGGCAGTGCCCGGCAGGGACCCACATCCGGCAGAAATATGTGGCAATGTTTAAAAATGAAATAAAAATATTTATTCTTTCCATTTATAGGTATTGCTTTTTCAAATAGCTACCAGGTTGTTAGGGCAGAAGTACTTAAGTTGGTTAGAGTTACCTATTTAATAACTGCCCCAGTTAGATATCACCAGGGCCACTAAGAAAATGTTGCTGTGCCCCCAAGGGCCATGCAGTGGTAGTGTGGGAGGAGTAGTGGGAAACACGGGGCAGAGACCATAAGAGCGTGCTCCTGTTCCAAATTTGCCATCAACCCCCCAACACTCCTCCAGTTACCCAACCATCAGCAAACCAAACACACTATGGGACAGATGCTCACTGGAGGCCCCAGCTTTGAGGCACAGCAGTTGGCTTGCCCTAAAGGCCTCGCACTCTTCTCTAGGCTGGACGCTCCTGCCTATCGTGAGGTGGCCCACGTCCTTGACACATCCATAGCTTTCCCAGTTCATGCCAAGTACTGTGCTAGTCGCTGAAAAGAGAAACTGAGGTCCCATTTTCAATGATGCTCAAAAGGCAGACACTGAGGGGGCTGGTGCATTTGACCCATAAGCTGAGTTAATTTACACAAAAACTCTCACTTCAGAATCTACAAAGATAACAGTAACTCTGATCATTCAGATGTCCATTCATGTCCTTTTCAAATTTTTTTGGAATATCAAATTCCAATTTGGAATATCAAATCCAATTGAATTATAAAACCATACTATCTCTGAGTAGCTGTTTGGTTACTAAATATTTGGTTCAGTGCTCTAGAACCATTTGCTCAAGAAACCATCTGGGAATCCCCTGGGAAACTGACGAATTGTTTTTATGAGGTAAGTCCATAAGTTTCAAATACTGACTTGCTTAAAAATGTAGTATACTTATGCATATATGCAATTTCCACAACAATTTGCCATTTCAACTATTTCAAGGTCCTTTCCAGCACAGTCTAGGACACCAGAGGTGCCCAATCTTTACTAAGGAGTCTGTTCTTTGTTCTTTTCTACTAAGTGAAAACTTGCTGTTACTTTAGTGTGCATCAATCTTAAATCCAACAGGTAGAAATCATGGAGTCTCTTCTTTGATTAAAAATAATAACAACAAAATAAATAAAAAAATCTTAAAAAAAAATAATAACAACAACCAGGAACAGAAAACTCCCCATTTTTCATTTTCACAAATTGACCTAATAGGAAATAGTTGATTCACTTATCTGCCTTGTATTCTTATTTCCTGGGTGATGATTCACCACAGGGTACAAATTCAAAGTGAGAGTTTATTTTAGAAGCAATCAGTATACATAAGGCCATAATAGTAACACAAGATGATTAAGTCTAAAATCAAAACAAAACACAACAGTACCCTTCCTATTGACAGAATATGCAGATAAACAAGAAATCCTAAACACTGACAGAGTACAGATACTAAGAGAAAAGATGGAACAAAGGATATGTAATTTATTCTAAAATGATTATTAAGTAACACTTTTTACTAAAACAATGCAGTGGGAAGTGACCCGGGTACTTTTGTCTATAAGAACATATTTTCTCTCAAAGCATTCAGGCTTGTTAAAAAGGATATGAATTGGGAGACGGAAGGGGTGAACAAGCAAGCAGGCAGTGGTAGGCTGAGAAGGAATAGGAAGGAGGGTATCAAGGGAATTAGATTCCAGAGATTCCTGAGGAGGAAGAGGAGTCAGTTTAGATCTTTAAATGGCTACTACTATATTCATTAGAAATACATGAATCTTGACACAACAAAAGCGGTAAGTCATGAAATCCACAGTAAGACATTATTGTTTCCTCTGCAACAGATCCCATAAACTCAGAGTGTACTGGGGGCTTCCTGTCTCCTTCCCCTCCTGAGACATTAAGGACACAAAACTGCATCAGCAAGTCTACTGACAAATGTTTAAACAGCTTGCATCTCAGAAAAGCATGAACTTGCAGGCTGTCTTCCGCCTGCATAGGAGGGAGAGGAGGGCAAACTTGTCTGTGAAAAACAGGCTACTTCCACAGACCTCTGGAGAGAGACCCTTTGCAGAACAGTCATCTGTCAGACACACTGCAGTTCTCAAAAACAAAATTTCTGTTTTGCCTTAGGACTCAGGCAGGACAGGTGAGCACAAAGAAAATCTTTTATGACCCTGGGGAACACTGGTCCACCAGCTTTGGTCGGCCAGGTTGGGCTTTTAGTTTAAGTGGTAAAATAATGAGCCTGACTTAACCCACTGTATGTCCTGGAGGTACGGAAAAGATCTGCTGAGATAATTAATTCATCTGAGGGGATGAGTAAGAGAACATTTTTATTTCTTGCCATAGCCGTCCTCCCTGACCTCTAAGCCAGGAACGTGGAAATGTACTCATCCCACCCCATCAGTCTCCCAGTTCCACACCTGCTCTCCAAACACACCGTCCCCCCACCCCCACTATTCTCTGGTCTGTATGGACAAACACTGGTGGACACAGCCGTTGTTCAGGGGTACCCACTCCAAGTTTTCAATAAAATCACTGAGTGATAGTTCCTAACACTACCACTACCTAATTTATTAGCTGCCTATACGACTGGAGTGACCTTGTTTGCTTAACTACTTTGGAATCCAACAGTTTGAAAAGAGCATGTCCAAACAAATTAGGTTTTTCAGTAGTAACAAGCAGCATTATCGTTTCTGGCACTAAAAATTTAGGGGCAACTGAAAGCAAAAAATACTGGAGTCCGGTTATGATCCTTCTTTAGGGTGAGATTTGAGACTGGGTAAGAGGCTTTCTGAGTAGAAAAACCAGAGCTGTAAAAGAGGAGGCTGGAGTGGATGCTATAAACACCCTTCTACCCTGACATACACAAACCTCACAAAAAACTTACTTGCCAATATTTTCAGGCAGGGACTGCAGTGAGATGTCATTTACAGAAAGACACGTCAAATTCTGTAATTCAGGAAAGCTTTCTGGCAATCTGAAACAGTAATGACAACAAAATGTTGTTAACTGAAAAAGAAAAGTGCATGTACAGTGTAAACTAGACATAAATACGATGAGTTCTGCCATATGTTAATTGAAATAACCTCCTATAAACTAAAGTATAAAAGGCATGTTTGCTTTGTCTTCCTAGACAGAAGGCACTGATGAGGAACAAAACACAAGGCTCGGTTTACCTAGAAGTACAGAGGCATGATAAATGCTTGGTGGGGGGGATCCAGAAATAATTAGAAAAGATATGCAAGCTCTCAGAATAAAGGAGAACAAATGCTGTGGCAGAAAGAAACAGGTAAACAGCTGCTGAAGCGGAAAGTGACTATGAGTGAAAACACTTGATTGATTAGCAGAAAATAAAGAGAAAGTTTAGCCCAGAAGATTATAATAAAACATAGGATAGCAAATAATTTTTGTTCTGTAGATTATAATACCCAAGGCAAGGCTATGAATTACTCAGAAGTGATCAATTGACAGCAATTGCTGCTTTCTTAATATTTTTCTTTTAACTCGATTTAAGATGCCAGTCACTTGAGATTATTATATGTTTCACTATGTTCTATACAAAAGGAAATTTTTTATACTTCCCTTAAATTCTACTGAAGAGTTAGATTTCAAAATAAAAATATTCAAAAACTTGCAAAGAAAGCTCACTTTCAGTATTTCTGTGGTTACCTCCAGTTACGGAGGAAAAAAAAAAACTAAAGTTAAAAAGATCTTGTTGAATCTAAAATGCCAAAGGTCTTTATACATAAATCTGCTGATATAGACAACAGAACACATGATCCATTTTTTTTGGAGGGGGAGGAGGAGGGGTAGGAAGAACTTCTTGCTTTAGCGATAGCCTCTGCATTAGAATCTTTCATTTTTTTTTCCTTTTTCTAGGTTCCTTTTTTTTAAAAGCAAATTCTAGGTTACTGTTTAACATAAAATATAGGTAATTCTAAGCTTCAAAAGAAAATCCAAGCCCTGCAAGATGAGAGTTCTATGATTTTATTATGACTGAGATACATTCTCAGGAATGGTTTCAACAAAGTTGAAACCTCTTCCATAGCATAACAGAGGTAAGATTTTTTTATTTATACTTAAGAAGATGCAACTGCATCTGCTTACCTGAGTTTCTACTTAAAGTACATATCATTTTATAAAACTAGCTAAAATGATCTTCAATATAAAGAAAAGATATTTTTAAATGGCTGACTTCCTTGTTTTACTGGCTGTCAGCATTAAGAGCTGAACCGGTAAGTGTGAGGCGGAAGCACAGACATCGGGCTCAAAGAAGGAATTCTAGTCTGAGCTGCCACTCAGAGGTCACATCATCTCAGAAGGTCATTTAGCCTCTCAGCCTCGTTTCTTCAGCCATAAAATAAGTAGGTCAAACTCAGTAATGTTTCAGGTCCTTTCCACTCACAGATAAGTCGTCATAATTCTTAAAGGAGTGCACCTGCCAAATCAAAAAGGCTTTAAGAAACCTCCCAAATGTGAAGCCAGGATAAAAACTGAGTAAAGCCTCCTACAATGTGGGTGTGTTCTGGTCCAGGGAGTTTTGAGATAATGCTAAAGTCATGTGTCAGCAGGCATTAGAAAAGGAAAACTAAAGAGGTAGAAAAGGGGATTAAGCAATTGAATGGCTTAAAAAAAAAAAAAAAAGGAAAAAAACCTCCAGGGCAGCATAATGAGAATTTCCCAGCTGCCTAAACCTACAAGCTGCCTTAAGGACAAATAGTTTAGTTCAGTTCACTCCATTCCAGAAATTAAGGGAGAGCTGAAGATAAAATGATAAACAACAGAGGAATATAAGTTAACTTTCTCAGTTTAATTGGGAAGTCTTGGTCAAGGTGAAAACTTAAATATAAGTTCCAAGTGTTAATGAAAAAAGTACACATTAAACATCTCAGAAGCCCCGCAGAGGGGATTCTGGGGAGTAAGTAAAGGCTTCCCAAAGAAATGTCATGCGGAATATACACCTTACAGGAGTGCAGAAAGAGCAGAGAGTGAAACAAATGACCTATGAGTACTTTATAACAGCGAGTGTGACGTCTGACACAAGCAACCGAGGGCAATGAACGTGGAAAGACAGGCCAAGTTCAGACACAGGGAAGGGGAGGCGGCATAACACCTGGAGAAGCAAGGACTTTACCTCAGGGACAGGGACTACAGAAAGGTCTGAAGAACGGGGACAACTGTATGGATGATGGTTAAGAAAGAAGACAAGACTTGAGGGCAGCGATAAGTTAGAGCTTACTGAATTTACTGCTTTTCATAAAAATAGATATTATTAGTAACATACTCACTGAAATCCAAAAGAGGAAAATCAAAAATATTTTAAAAACATATTTACTTCTTAAAAGTACCAGATATGGGGAAAACAACACCAAATAGACATTCCCTGGCAGTCCATACCCAGAAAGACCCAAGCAATGGGTGATATGTATCCCAAATTTTAACCTCATCTCAATTTTCCTTTAAAAAAAAAAAAAAAAAAAAAAAAAGAACAGAAGGGAAGTGGGAAGAATACATTTATTCTGAGGCTGCTTACAGAGTCTAGAAATCATAGACATGGACCCACCCAGCTTAGAGGTACCTCTAAGAACTTTTCCTGAGGACTGCCTCTGCATTGCCAGGTGTACAACAATTCAGGTAACCTGGCAACACAGGCATCTGGAAGGCAGTGATCAGTGGCCTCATGACTCAGCCAGCAGCCATGAGGAGGGGCTCATAACAGTACCACTCAGCTATGCCCAGGCAGGGTGCTGTGTCATACCAGAAGAAGCAAGATCGGAATCAGTAGTAGAACAGTGACAGGTGGCTCTATGTGGAGGAATAACCCCAAAGAAATCCTCACAGTTATTGCTAAAGTAAGGGAACAGTGATGTGAGCAGAGTTTTTGTTTGTTTTAAAGGAAGAGTTGGAGGAAAGTTGAGACAGTAAGTATGCTTCATTACTGGAGTGGAAAAAACATCCCTTATTAGGACTTCTTGGATAACTAGAGGGTAAGCTCTCTGGGAGTTTAGAACTCAGCCTTACCCCACAAGATAAGCAATAGAGTATAGAGTATTTATGAACTACTTCGGTGCTTCACATGGCTTCAGAAATGTAGTCCTCACTCCTGTTTTGTATACTACTACATGGTGCCTCCCCTCACCCAATATCTGTTCAATGTTCCATCAATAGCACATGTGTGTCTTTCACTGCACAGTGTGATTTATAAACAAGTATCTGTGAAAGTCAATCATTTTTTTTAAGATTTTATTTATTTATTTGACAGAGAGAGATCACAAGTAGGCAGAGAGGCAGGCAGAGAGAGAGAGAAGGAAGCAGGCTCCCCACTGAGCAGAGAGCCCAAGGCAGGACTCGATCCCAAGACCCTGAGATCATGATCTGAGCCGAAGGCAGAGGCCTAACCCACTGAGCCACCCAGGCGCCCCGAAGGTCAATCATCTTTGATAAAGATAGCCATCCATCTAGGTACCCCCACGATGGGTGACCAGGTTGTGTTCATGGTTTGGTTCTCAAAAAGGGTATCCTCAGTACTATAGACAGCAAAGCAAGCAGAAAGGTTACCTAGTCAGTGGGTTTCCGCTGAAGTCAGCTATCTGCAGTGCTTTACAGAATGAGATGCTTTCTGGAATTTCAGGAATATCTGTAGGAGCAAAGAAAACATCTATCATTTACCACCATCATTATTACTTTTCATCATCCTCAAGATGGACAAAAGTCATAAGAAAATATCTAGTAAGTACTACCTCTACCTAAATGAGGCATGGATTTCTAGAGTATTTTTCTATCTTTATTTTATATTTGCTTTCCTAATAGAAGATATATTCTTAGTAGAAGCACATTAAAGAAAAACTATTCAAGAGCCAATGGGTGGACCTTATACCAAATGAAATAAGTCAGAAAAAGACAATGTAGGAACTCAAATTATATGTGAAATCTTATAAACAAACCCAAAAACAACCCATGGAGAGATCAGATTTGTGGTTACCAGAGGGGGGAAAATTGGATGAAGGTGGTCAATGGTACAAACTTTCAGTTATAGGACAGGTAAGTACTAGGGATGTAATGTACAACATGATGATGATAGCTAACACTGCTCTATAGTATATTTGAAAATTGGTAGAGGAGAAGTGCTATGGGTTCTCATCAAAGGGAGAAAATTTATTTTCCTTTCTTTCTCTTCCTTTTATTTTATCTATATAAAATGATGGATGTTAGCTGAGTGGTAATCATTTCACGATATATGTAAATCAGACCATCATACTCTCTACCTTCAACTTATATAGTGATGAATGTCAATTAGTCCTCAAGAAAAGTGGAGGGAAAAAAACCACCACCACCAAGTCCCATCACCCTATCAGAAGTCACAGATGGCATTCTGTCATAATTCCCAGTAAGCTAGTTTTTCTTACATTTTCACATAGTTATATCAGTACACAGTATTCCAGAGTACGCATCTTTAAATTATGGGCTTTCTTCTTCTGGGTATAAACGTAACAATTTGGAAATTACACAAAAGTCCAAAGACGAAAATAAAAACCAACAGCATTTCCATCGCCTAGAGATAATGATTTACTTTGATGTATTTTTTTTCACTGCCATCACACACATGCACACACACAGTGTATATAAAAAGATTATATTTCAAAATACTAGATTCATGCTGATTTGGGCTTTTTTCACTGTACATCATTTTACAAACTTTTCCCCATCTTTATTTGTCCAGTTTGCCATTTTTAATGGCAGAAAACCCACTGCATATATTTTCATATTTCATTTAATCAATCCCTCATTGTTAGACATTTAGGTTGTTTCCAAGTTCCTGATGTTATAATTATATTTATATCCATTTCTGATTATTTCCTTAGGCTAGCTCCCAGAATTGTAATTACTGTGTCAAAGGCATTAGCAAGTCTACAGTCTTCAGTAAATACTATTAAACTGCCTTAGAGGAAGGCAAGTTTACTGCTTATACTTCCATCAGCCTGTACGAGGTGCCTAATTCAACACTTCTCTTCCTCCTTTCTTTCTCTGACTTTTAAAAACTGCCAATACTGGGGCACCTGGGTGGCTCAGTCAGTTAAGCGTCTGACTCTTGATTTCAGCTGAGGCCATGATCTCAGGGTGGTGAGATCGAGTCCCGCATTGGGATCCACACTGGACGTGGAGCCTGCTTAAGATTCTCTCTTACCCTCTCTCTACCCTGCTCTCACTCTTAAAACAAACAAACAAAAATCCTGCTAATACTATTGGTAAAAATAGCCTGGCAACATTTTGTTTTATGTTCCTTTTATTACTAATGAGGCTGAATATTTTTCCCTATGTTTACTGATCACTAAATATTTTGATTTTGAAATTACCAAAATTGTTAAATTTCTCTTTCTCTTGGTACAAAACCTGGGGTTACAGCTTTTAGGGCTTTAAAGATTTATTTTATAGCATTTAATTTCAAGGGTACATTTATTTTGGACATATTAACGTTAAGAAGGCCTTAAATAGAAAAGGTTCTCCTGGTCCCATGCTGTTTCTTCTACCAATTCTACAAGTGCAAGCCGAGCCAAAACATACCTAATATTTCTCAGGTGGGAGTGGCAGGGAGAAGAGAGAAATAAAGGGGGAAATGGATGCCCTGGTCCATCAACTGCAAAGTAATCAGAAGCTACATAAACGCTTTTAGTTCAAACTTCTAAGCCAAAATCATTTAAGTTTGTGGTAACATTCTTGTTACACTCCTCTCTTCCTTGCATGGTCATATAAGGTAGTAAAGAACAAACACCTAGTTTCATAAACATCACAGCTATAGACACACATGCACACAGACTTTAGTCTGGAATGGATTTTTAAAACACACAAACATTTGGGGGTCCTGAGGTACAAATATACTAGGCAGGTCTATTAGATGTATTACTTTATTTCACCTCAACATAAATTATTTTAACTTCCATTGTACAAAATGGACAGTAAGGCTCAGAGAGATGAAATGACTTCCTCATCATCACAGGCCTATTCCACTGAGTGCCTGAGCCTCACTGCTGAGATCACAGCACCATCGTGCTTAAGCATGAATGACCACACACAAATCCATCACAGAACAAGCACAGCTATCTAGGCAAGTGAGGCAGTGACATGCCGTGGCCTGCTTTGGTCTGGAAGGTGCTGGCTGGCCTGTGTACTCCATGACAGTCCCTCTTCTGCCACTACTTCTAGGCCTGGTGAGTGGTCTTTATAAGACTGAGGAAAGAGGTGTATGCATCACACCAGGAACGTCACAAGTGCCAAAGAAGATCAAGCGGGACACAGAAGTACACATTTTACATCAACTTGCTGCTCTATCCTAGACAAGGAAAAAAAAAAAAAGGCAAGGAAACAGAAAGCGGAAAGGTATGTCCATTAGGTATCATCTTTAATATTCTTCAGAGCACTAGAAACATCACTGAGGCTTGGGAAGACGGGCCTGTCAGGGGAACACATGAAAAGTGGCTGTGAGAAACTCTGGTCAGGGCTGGTCTGGAATCTAGAGATCTGAGGGTAACAAAAGTTAAGTGCCAGAGAACACAGCACAGCTGGACTCAGTCCACACAGAGCTGATAGAGAGGTCTGCCTCATAGGAAGGCATTCCCTCCTTAGGGTAACCTGCTCATACACACAGGAGAAGTAGCAGATCAGCAAAGAGAACACAGGTCTCCTGACTCTCAAGACCATTTCCTTCTACCATATGCACGTTCTGAACCTGAAGAAAGAGAATGTATTTGCTTGTACAAATAGAAGCTTTAGATAAGGATAGGAAAGGTGTGGTTTGAAGAGTCCTGAGTACTGGTTTGCTTTAGGTTGCTAAAAGTATTGGAATAAAAAACCAAGGAAGAAAACATTTACTCACCCTTAAATAATACCCAGCTAAAATGTCATATACTCAGGGACACCTTCCATGGGTCCCAAGATGAGACTGGATTCACCCACTCTCAGGCTTCACCTCTGTGAGATCTGTGACAGTTTTAATAATTTTGTTTGCAGTCAATCACCTTTATAAAGTTCTGTGTTCATTGGAAAGAAAGACCTTGTGGGTATTGTCTGTTGCTGCTTCCCTAAAGCTGACACAGTAGTGAGCTTAAGCAGTACACAAGTGCCAAATGAATGATAGGCTGATGTTACTAAGCCCCTATAACAGTTGCTCTCTCATTTGAGTCATGAACTCTCCCATAAGGTTAGTATTATATTCATTTTACTACTGGTAGGAACACTGCTTAGTCCCAGATCTTTGACAAGATGGAATATAAAGCTTTTAGATTATTCTCAGCTGAAATCCCCTTTGATCCTTAAATGTTTTGCTCAGGACAAACAGGAGGTTTGAGAGTAAAAATATGAAAAAAAATATATAAATGCCACCTTCTCAATGAAACCTAGGCTGAGCACTAACCTCATTAAAAGACTAATTTGAATCCTTTCCCCCATGCCAATTCTTACATTCAATTTCCAAATCCCTCTCATATTCTCTAATTATTGTTCCTGGCCATCCTTTTCTGTCCACTCCTACTGTTATCAAGTTAGTTCAGACCTCAATCATCTAGATGACTAGAATATCCTCTTTAATGGTTTTGCCCTGTATCCAATTTGTCCTCCATCAAATCCAAAGAGCCACAAGAGCAATCTGCACCAGTTTTCTGCATTTGCTAGTTTTATGCCCAAGCGCAAACTACTTAACCTACCTGTGCCTTGGTTTCCTTAACTGTAAAATGAGTCATCAACAGACTTTTTTTTTTAATTAATGCCAGCACATCATACCTTCGGTGCTACACAAGTTCAGAGAAAAGAGAAAATTAGACAAAGAAAACTTACACTTTGAACCAAATAAATAAGAGTGGAGGAGAAACCCAGGCATGAATGGGACACTGAATGCAGTGAAGAGAGGGTAAGTTCTGGGGAAAGAAGGTGCAGCATAAACTTCAGGATATCAATATGGGAGTATGTGAAGAGAAGGCTGAAGCAAGCTCTTGATAACAGATTACCAAATGCCAGGTTGAGCTATTTACAATTAATTTGCTAGACAAGGAGTTTCCTCTTCTATAAAAAGGGGAAATCACCTCTGGCTTAGAGATGTCCCAAGGATAAAGCAGAGTAGCATGAATAAAAGCACATGGCACTCTGTCTGACCTCTTTCATTAATATTTGAGGGAAACCAGTAGAGAGGACCACTGGTTTCCATTCAAGGCCAAATAATCTGAGGAAGAACAGTAGCATTATTAATAGAGATGAGATGATTTAGAGGGCTTTTCCCATTGTTTTAACTATCTGAGAAACAGTAATGATTAACTTCTGAACGCCTATTTACATAAAAATATTAGAAATAATGAGATTTTCATCTACTCATTAAGGAATGTACCCCTAAAACTTTTACGTCCAAACAACCACCATAGTTCAAGCTTCTATATAAGGTGAAACAAACAAATTTTAATCATGTTTTTCATTAATTCAAACTGGCTTTGTCTCATCTAGTCTAAGAATAACAGCATAAAATTTGATATTTACAAAATGTCTGTGAATGATTATAAAATTAAGTAATCTTTTCCCTACAACTTTCTTAAGATAACCTTTAATTTGGACCCACTCTAAGCCATGATTATTTCTGAATCAGAATTGCCTCAAATT